CTAACGATAAGCAAGCAAAGCATAGTTATTTGCCTTAGTCAATATGAATAGTTGATATCCGTCTTGATGATTTGTCATCAAACTATCGGAAGATTGAAGGGCACGAGTGCGGTTTATATATTGATCATGCAAGGGTTGAGGCAGAAGTTTTTATCGAAGGATTATTGTATACTATGATTTATTAATGTAAAAATCTTTAGCTGCAATCATGTGTGACGATAAATAGATAGCATTGTAATAAGCGAGTATACTACTTGAAATTACACGCTGTATCTTTTCACGGAATCTTCCCGAGGTAATAGTATTGGCATGAGTCAAGATTCTGCGTCTATTTTGCATGTGCGGGATAATTTGAATGAAAAAGTCGCTCACAATTATGCCTTTATCTGAAAACAATCTAACTTTAAATTTATATAATATACATTATATACATTATATAATATACATTATATATAATTTATTTTCATTGGGCGAGATAACTGCTATTATTATTACTCATATTCTCATTATCTCATCATTGAACATTACATGTGTATCCATGATTAGTCAACTCTGTTGGATAAGAAATTTCCGTAATAACGAAGCTTTTTTTTTATAGGAATTATTTAATTTTCATTGACCTCTTTATATAATTTTTTAGATTAATGTTATATTTTCTTTGTGTAAAAGATAGGATTCTGAATTTTTTTTAATAATTATGTCTTTCTACTTTAAAAAATATAGAGTGGATTTAATGGTTTAAAACCCATGATATTTACAAATTTCATTCCCATATTTTTTAAAGTGAACGAAAAATATTTAGTTTTTCCATCACTTTTTTATTTTTGTAGTAATTTATTCGCTTGATCTTTTTAGATCTTAAATAATAAATGTTGATAAGTTCTAGCATTAAAAAGAAAAAAATTTAAGACGCGAATATTGTCTGCCAATCATAGATTATTTTAAATTATTTCTTGTAATTAATACTCTGAGACCGAATAGATTTCAAGCTTAATTGCCTTCCACGCCTCGAAGGATTGAAATTATCTTACCTGTTCGCAGAATTTCATTGGATTTCTCACAAAGGATATCAAAATGATATGAGAATAATAAAGTGTGATAAAAAGTTTAATTAATGTAAGACTTTGGCTAGTAATTTAATATTTGTAATGTCCTCATGGCAAACAGAGATTTAAAAGAATTCTTAATTGGGATTCGGACTTTAATTGCGTTTCGAAGATGATTTTGCAGATTTACAATAAACGAAACGCGGAAAACATGAATATATAATATAATGTTATTGCAATATCTCAGGGAAAGGAATAGCTATAATTTACATCATAAAATATAGCTCGTATCTATATCTTATTACGCAGAAGTGCCATTATTTTGTATTACATCATTGCCAATTAAAAGAGAGATATTTAAATGATAGATAAAAATCCGTTCCGCAACGTCAACGTAATGACGAGCGGAACAGACGGGCGCATCGAAAAACTCTTTATGGTTAATGAACGATCGTAATTGCATGTTCGTAGAAACTCGTAGATTCCAGATAAAATTCAACTATCATCTCTATTATATCACAGTTATAGATAGATGAGAATTCGTCGCTTCGAAAAATCTTAGAAAATATCTTTCTACGTAAATATTTTTTTTGTCTCCTAGCATATTTTACAAATACAATTCGTGATAGTCTATTTATGTAGATTTGCACTTCACGATACAGAACATCACTGTATTTATGCGCTGTGCGCTCACGCGTTGTCAGCAATTAGCACAAAGGAACAAAAAAAAAAGAAGGAACGCATCAAGGCGAAACGATAGACTCATCCTGCTCGAATAACGCGCAAGTAGTAATACACGAAGAATAATAAACAAATTGCAGAATGCAAGTGATTTGAATGCATATATTTAAATTGCATGTATATCTGGAGATATGTATCTATCATAATTTCGTTCGTCGAGACTACCAACGAGACAATCCGCCGTTCATAATCCGCGAATCTCTTATCGCGATTTGGGGCCTCGATTTACAAGGCGATTTTCGTGAGTATAATATATTTTTACGGTAACGGTTCACTCGGCTCTCCCTTTCGATACATTATTTATACATCGCCTCGAGAGGAGAGTTCGCGCGCGTCGCCGATCGATTAAAAACCATTCGCCGTCTCGCTTTCCCCGGAGGGGAGGAAAAAGGGAGCAGCTTCCCGTGTTTTCCGGCCGATTGGATTTAATGATTTTTTTCCAGCGTCACTCGAGAGATTCCGCGGGGCGACGGACATCGTCGTCGCTTATACGGGATGCGTTCCGCGAAGCGTGCAAAGCGCTCGTACGAGTCTCGGCGGCGACCTTTCTTCGGTGAAAGTTTTATACCCGAGAGTAAATGAAAAATATAAATCTCCGATGTTAACGATTAAATTCCCGAGCATCTTGCAACACTGTCCTCGATATCGTAATTTGATTTTCATTTCTTTCTCTACATAAAAGAAAAGTTAATTGATTAAAGAAAACGTGAGCGTCGCGTTCTACAAATAATCACAGGAACAGACGATCCAGTAAATGCACGATTATAATTACATGGAAAGAACGATTGAGGTATTTCAAATTTAGATATAGATCTGAAAGTAATTTTGTTAGAGATGAAGTAATTATCTAATAATCAGATGATTAAGCACGATGATAATACTGTAAAAAAATTTGATATTCTAACAAGCAATTTGAATGTTCTACATTTTGATCCAACAAAAATATTTTCAATATATGTATCTAAAGCTAAATTTATAGGTGCTTCAACAAAACTATTCTTTCCATATAGAAGCAATAAGTACAGTAGCAGGAATAACTAGTAACTAAAGTAGGTAAGCGGAATAATTATTCTGGATGAATATCAATTCATTGATTGATATCAATTAATAATACTTAATTATTAGAAGACGTATTAGAAGACGTATAATAAGCATATGTTACGTAAAAGTTAACTAACAAATCCACGATTGTTATTATTTATTACAAATTGTCTGAATCATAGTTTCACGAATTCAATTTATGATATTGAATGGATTTACACGATGTACATTTATCATTCGTTCATTATTATTCGAATAATTTACTAACTTTAGCGTTCGTTGCATCTTGCGAATATTTACACGTGGATGGAATTTTTTTTTTTTTTTTGCTTATCAGCATACATTTGTCATTAATAAGATATTTAGACGTAAGTACATTCGCGAAATTAAAGGCAGTGCAATAAGACATCACACGGAAAAAAAGTATACTCAATTTTAATAAATATTTAATTGAATACTGCCAAAATTTCCTAAATATTTATTAAATATAAAGATATATTTATTTGATACGAGAAATGTTAATTTGATTTAACAATCATTTTTTTTATTGAATAAATATTTACTTACTGTAAGTAAATATTTCGTTGGCTGTATTGAGCTAAATATTTATTAAAATTAACTATATTTTTTTCTCAATGCACAAAATGGATGTTAGGACAATCGATGAATTTTTAAATATTTGAATGCGTGAATATTGAATAGAGAATTGCGTATAATCGTAAATCGTACGAGCTACAAAGCTATTGACAAAGCGATCGCGGCAGAGTTTTAATTAGAGACCTGCACTAGAAGGCTGAATAGACATTATAGGTAGAACGTGCATCGGCATCCCGGATTGGATGCGGATCTAACGGGCCTCTAAGGCGTATCACGAGTTACGAGCCTCGTAAATAGCGCGGAACAGCGGCAGAATAGCAGCGGAGGCGATAATCGCATTTACATTAATTAATTAATCGCCGAGATTACGATTGAAAGCGAGAGTCGAGAACGAGAATCGCATCCGCATACAATGAGAAAAAAATTTGTTATTTACGGATTACTGAGAGTTTTAGGATAATCTTGAGAAAAAAAATGTCTCTAAAAAATCCCTGAAAAATATGTCGTAGTAAAAATAAAAAATAGATTTGTTTTAATTCATTGTATTTTATATTTTCTTTAAATAAAAATTGATGACAACACATAAATTTAATTACTCATGTATGGATATACATGCGCGGATTTATATTCCTGTCTGTTGACATTCCGAATGTTTTCTACAAGCAGTGCGGAACAAACAGCATGAACACGATTCTTCGTATTGTATATCGTTGTAATACAAGGCATATATGTATTGTCCAGAATTCTATGTATTTTCCATATCTTTTCTTCGCACGTTCACTCGATACTTTCATTACTTTTTTTTTTCTTATTCAATCCCAATTCAATTGCCAAAATTCTCGCCGAACATTATAAATCGATCAAAACGATCGCTATAGTTAATTTAGAGTTGATTCCCTTGTAATGTAAAAGTACAAATCAGATTTTAATACTTGAAATTCTGTCGGAACAAGTTCTGTTAGAATTGAATAGTCAAGGAGGTTGAAAGGAAGTTTAGGAGCACTGATACAAAACATCGCTATGCTAGAAGAAAGAACGTTCGATCTAAATTTCCGGAATAAAACAGAACAAAGAAAATCTTGTAATATCTTTACATTAAACTTCTTTCAGCAAATGTTTTATCGATTTGCCGATACAGCAAGCTTTTCATTCGTCTCTCAACAAGTGGAAAGCTGTGAGGAGCTTACACGTTCTTTTGATTGCTCGAAAAGCATTTGATTGCTGCTTCTAACTTTTCTGTCAGAAATTTCCGTCGAAAATTTATAGGGCTAAAAAAGGATATAAGGTACTCACAAGTTCAACGAGTAAAACCGAGAATCTTAAATTCCAGAAAAAAATTGAAAGAAATCCACTTCTCGACACTGGATCAGCGTGACGCGCGATGATGAAGGAAAGTCGAGCGAGGAACCAGATGATAAGAGAACAAAACCGCGGATCGAACCCTCCGTGTACAGGAGGGTGGAGCGTCAAATGAGGCACGAGCTAGTGACCAACGTACATTTATAAGAAAGTGTCCAAGGATCGGGCCTTCCTTCCGTGCGTCTAACGAAGGAAGAAGGGGACAGGACTCGCGATATGGTGTATACGTGCAACTACACTTCGTCATGGTGGGAGACCACCACCACTATCAGCATCGACGGCGGGGATACTCTCGATCTTCGATTTTCAAGGTCGCGCTTCAACTTGACCGCTTGCACCTTACTCGTTACATCATTGCTGCTGGAAAACGATATGGGAGAACAGCATGGAGAGGAGCGCGGAGACGCCTCGTCGCGTCGCGGAAACGGCAGAGTCCTTCGGAGTGCCAAGTCACGCGCATTGAAAGCAAAAGATGTGTATCACGGGTGTTTCATCCGGATAATTAACGTATGCCGTACTTGGAGACGCTTACGCGAGAATGTAACGATGTCGGTACATTTGAAAGATAATTACATTGGTCTTTTTGTAGGACCTCGATCTTGAGTGACTCGATTCTGTAATTTTATTTCAAGCTTGCGAAACAGTCTGGCAACTTCTATGATCACTGATCACTTCCAGCCTATATAAGAAATAATCGGTCTTCGCTCGATCACCGTGAGCACAATGAGCGGTACGAGGTGATTAACCCTGCGACTCGAAGAGCGGCACGCACCAACCTAAGTACATGGATACCTGGCATGCGATCGCCGTAACATTGACACACTTCCCCGTACCTCTCTCGTGTGTCACAGCTCACCGCTGTATAATGACAAAGGCGGTTTGTTGTCTCGCCTTGAGAGGTGGAGCAGGACGCGCATGTCCTGTTGTCGTGATCACGATCGCGATCGTTAATCGGAGAACATGGTCTTCGAGACAAGCTAAATAGGATAATATCGCGTACCATGATTATTCATCGCGCCGTTCTGCTTCGAGAACTCATCCTTGTTCACAAGTTTGTGGGATGTTTTTAGGATTTTATCTTATAAAGAAAATTCATGTTTGTTTACTCGATAAACTTTACTTTAATTTCGAGCATTTTTTTATTTCATTAATTATATGTTATTAATTATTATACAATAATTATAGTCATCCTCTATAATATTATTATATATTATTGTATAATAATTGTGATAAATTTGAATACATGAATAGATTAATGATATCATAAATGTGTGTGCTGCTAGATTTACAATCTCCTGTCGAATCTTTCAATTTTGAGATCGTAGGACGTACAACTGGATATAGCCGGATGAAATTTTTTGCCAAGTCAAATGTAGTGGAAGCTTAAAAATACAGCATTGAAGTGTCAATAAAAGAATAAAATTCAGATTTGATCGATAATGATTAAACATTTGTCGATTCTTTTTTCTGATTATCGAATTATTGAGTACAAAAAATAGGAGAAGAGAGAATATTGTAAAACCTTTTTAGAAAAATATTACAGATTCATTTCATTGTTTTTATTTTTTTTTTGTTATAATTTAAACAGTGTATGTGCGTTCTCCTTTTCTCTTTTTCTTTTATCGATTCAATTAATTTTACGATCTGCCGATACAGCGAACCGCCTTCAACTTCGCGCTCGTTTCCCCGTTGCAAAATGTGACAGCCACTCGTGACAGGTGCGACAATCGACGTTACTGTCGACGACAGAATGAACTGCATCGAAAGATGTAACTGCACGCTCGCGGCGCGTGCATATCCGTGGAAGGCCGTTAGATTCGCGAGCGGAAACCTTCGTCCCTGCAACAACGCAGGTAATTAATGGCTTGGAAATACTGATTACAGGATCTAATATCGTTCACGTGTGACCCCGACCTAATTTTTAACACACACGGGATTTCGATACTATAAATTAATCCAAACTCGTCGATGAGCTTTATTTCCGAAACGGAAGCACATATCGCGCTAATTGTCATTAAACGCGTTTATGTAAATATTTTTTTATTCCTCAATAATTCAAACGAATTCACATCCCCTTTCGCAAGTATTATAATTTTCAGACTGTAAATTTGCACAAGTGCGAACGAGCTAAGGCCTTTTTATGTCACGATGTAAAAACAAATTAAGTCTAACGAATCGTGCGATTGATTTTGCCGATGATCAAATTAATAACGGCTCCGTTAATTGATCAATTAAGATTAGTGAGAGAATTTTTACTGGGATAAGATTCGGAGGGAAATTGCACTCGGGAGAGATTCGGTGGGAATCAAAGGAACGCGTCCTCAGTACGCACTCTCGCTGTTATCGACCATCAGAAGAGGAGGCCGAGCCGAGCTGGCTCGAGCAGAACCGAGCGAGACCGAATTGCGGATACAGAGAGGCGAGCCTCTCTGCGAGTCGTCCCTTCGTCGGCCCGGGATCTGGATCCTGTTGCTGATCGGTATTTCGGGTTACCGTCCGTTGCGATCACGTAAGAACTCGCATTCGCGGTCCACTCGCGTCTACGAAGTTGGGAAGACAAATTCGTACGATATTCAAACGAGAGGATCGGAATTCCGCAGATTTGGACTGTGTTTACATCTCCCGAAGGAATACCGAGATCTGATATCCCTGCGTGACTCACTCGTGGGTGTAGAGAGGAGCATCAATTAAATCTGGAGCTAAAACCTCCCGCACACCTCCTCGAAAAGGGATCAGCGATTGATCGCGTTTTCGCGTCCTTCTTCGATTTTGTGTGCTTCATATTTAACACAGCTCATTATTAATATTAATAAAATATGACGGGCCACCCCCAAAGTGACTACACCGTGGTATCCGTGCGTGATTCATGGCAATCTACTCGCGACGCGGAGAGATCTTCGTCGTCACGTCGCGTTCAATAATCATCGACGTTTCGCAGGTGCATTAAATTCGTGCGTGGCCTCGCGAATTCAATTTGATTTCAGTCCCAGAGCGGGGCAAGCGTCCATTATCTTTACACGACGAGTGCGTCAAGCTCCATATGACCGAATATTCTATCAAATCCCAGGGTGATATCTGACGTCCAACTTTGGGATGGGAATAGTCGCAACGACGATTCATCGAGTCGACTTTGGGATCTCGCGAGTGCCGAGGATCTAATTGTGATTTTGCGTCGTTATCATTTAAGACACGACGCGTCTTTGATTAGGTTCTAAAGACATGCAAAGATATTCGCGTTGCAAACATTGATGACAGAGTTCGTAGCTGTTGCACGGGATGAGAGCAACAATTTTGGTTTCACGAGGGGCAATCACGCTCCGTGACGATCCATTGCGAAACAACTGGTTGAATTTGGGCAGCTTCTAGTCGGCGGGGACCATGGCGACTGTTTGGCTGGGCAGTTGCGTAAGCGCGAAAACGTAAGCTCCGTTAAGCTTCCTTTACGAACTTTCCTCGCACTTTTCATCCCATTATCATCGATTTTTTTGATTTCTTAAACAAGATTTAAAATCGTCTCTCCGACGTTTCGTCTGATACGAAACTCCGTCTATATGGTATTCGGTTATATGTGTGTATGTACAATAAACTGCCGCATCACTTCGGTTGTGCTCACCGACAGCCACGTTATTACCGTCATGCGTAACGTAGCGTGAAAAATAAACCCTGCTTTGCGCGCGGCTGTCCTCTTCGATCAGGCTGCTCCGCGTGCTGAAATAATCATATTCCAATCGAAAGGCAGTGAAACAAGAAGAAACGTAAAATTATTGATATTTTTCAATATCATACCGATAACTAAGCGTCGAAATTATTTCCTGTGGGAGAACATTAATAATTGGCATTATTTAGAAAATGAGATTTTCGAAAATAAGGATCTTATCGTCCAATTTTTTTTTCTTCTGTGGTTGCTGGGTCTCTTTAGGACCTCGCTAGATAATAAGTATGCAACATTTTTTTCATTCCCATTCGTCGTACCTCTTTCTCGAGTCCAGCGACGCAAACCCACGTAATTATCGGCAGCTTTAACGTTACGTGGGCCGACGCGAGAATAATAACCAAGGTCAGGAGCGCGGACAGTGCTGAAAAACGAAATATCGATTCAGCATCGTGTCGCATCGGCCGCATTTTCCCCTGTGACGCACGTCGTTGCAACGCCGCGAGATGCATTCAGCATCCACGCAGTGAATACCGCACACACAATGCAGCTGCGATGCGCGCCCGTCGGTTTTCAGGGTACCTGATGGCGGGAACAGCCAGAACCGCAACTATCAGAGCCCATTTCTCCTTAGAGGACTCTTCGTCTTCCATCGATATCGGTCATTTTTCTCATATTTTCTCGTATCAGATTTTCTCATATCCGAATAATTGTTTTATTTTATTAGATTTTTCACTCCCTAAAAATTTAAAATGGAAAAATCACTTTATTTTTCAAAGAGTGAACATTCTGCCACTATTAAAAAAGAGCGACAACATTTTTCATTTTCTTTAAGAATGAGATCTCACTCTAAAGAATTTAAAGAGTACTATATCAGAAAAAGATCTATAAACAGATCTCTAATCTAAATTATTTTATTTATTTTTTACTATACTAGAGAAGAGATCAGTTTACTGATCAGTTTGACTCCATTTTTTTCACCTTTAAAGGTAAACGAAGAAAATTTTGACAATTCTTACATATATATATATATAAAGAAGACTTAATTTTTAATAATTTATTTACTGTAGTATATTATCCAACCTTTGATATGGTTTGACTAGTTTTCTATATTTTTTTTAATATTTAACTTTATTTTTAATAATTTGTCAATAACGTTTTAATCTTATACAACTACTCTTATTATTGTAATAGCTGAGGAGAACTAAATTGAAACATTCCATTTATTATATAATTATTGTAAAAACTCTTACATCTTTCATGATATAGATTAATGTCTAATAAACTTTATCGTCTTACTATTTAAGCTCGCGTTTGACTTATTCTTTCTATTCATTTGTATTTATATATTCGATAAAAAAAAAATCGTATTATATCAGTTAATACTAATTTGATTATGCATCTTTTTCTTCTTCTCCTTTCTTGCCGATCTTGAATTTCCCACTTTGATTCCGCGAAAATGTGAGTCTTATGTTGCCGGGTGAACAGTTTTACGTGTGAAAACTAGTTCACCTTCGGTCTATCGGCTACACCCACCTAGCGGCGAGTTTTTTTTTTCGATAGATTTCCACGCGTTGGAGTTCTGCCATTGCGTGCAGCACGCTCGTCGAAATAACCGACAAAATCGAACGAACAAATCGAGAGAGATGCGAATAGTCGGCTGTGAATGTCGAATTGTCGAGCCAGCCAAATCGCTTTTAAAACTATTGATTACTCTCTGAAACTTCCTCTCAATAATTGAGAACTCCTCAAATGATCTCGTTCAGCAAATGTCAACTCGAACAAAGTTCTATTGACGGCTGAATGTTTAAACAGACTCGGAGACGAATCGCCTCGTGACATCAACACAGAAGTAAACGAAGAACAGACGATGCTAATTACTTAACTTTGAAGCTATTCTAATTCATAGTTTGAAAATTCCATTTATTTTACGAGCGATAATTAGAAAATTATTATGTTCCGATCTTATCCAAGATGAGATTCCCATTAGCTCAACTAACGCGAGATTAAGTCCAGTCATTAGCTCAATTAACGCAAGGCTAATCCAGAGACAGTTATAAATAACAATTATAAATTAAAATACGAATAGAGACAAGAAGTAAATCCGATCGTTTCTAGTTAGATCGTCTGATAACAGATAGCCATAAGCGTTGCTAAGGGGAGGTGTGCGTGTAAAGCAGGTACTTATGTTACAGGCTCACGTTGCATAAGCAGATAACAATCGGCGCGTTTGCATCGAGCGTGTCGTGCGATCGTGCTCTGATGTTTTATCGATGTGTTTCCTCCTTTTTCCTTCCCTTCCCTTTTCCCCTTTTTTGCCAAGGTTGATTAAAATCGTGAATGACGCGTTCGCAGACCAGTTTCATGTGTAAATTTACATTCTTCTAGATTTCCGGTTTAAGTCAATTATTATCGATTGCCAATCACCGCAATTGGACGAAACTGTTCGTTCGACTAAGTGCGTTTCATTTATTTACGGCATTTACGTCGATAGCTAGCTAGCTCGCTCAGCAAGTTCTCGTTCAAGGCTGCGCGGGTGACCGCTATGATTTTTATTCTCGATTCTTTTATTTTTTTTTTCTTGCTTTTTTTCTCCATCTCTAATTAGCACGAGTATCGTTCGAATGAATTACGCAAGATGCGCGGGATTCTCGTAGCTAACTTCCTTATCCGATATTAAGTAACTCCTTATCTGACGTTTCTCGTATACTTCTTGTCTTTTAAAGCGTTTCAAATCCCAGTAAACAAGAAACATTTCGGAACACATCAACAACATTGCAGCAACATTATAACATTATAATTAACGTTGCTAATTAATGTTGCTAAATTTCCATATTCCAAAATGTTTCTTAGTAGGACTAAAGCCTGTTCTACAATGCGCTTTCTGTTTCTTGCTTTTTGCTATTTTTTACATCTTGTCTTTTTTGCTTCTTTTCCGGTTTTTTGTTTTATATCACCCGAGATAAAAGTTAACAAATTTCGAAAAAAAAACAACAAATACATAGCAAGAAGAATACAATTGTCGATAAAACGATTGTAAAGGAGAAAAAAAGAAACAGGAAACAAAAAGCACATTGTAGAATAGGCTTAAATGAAAGAACAAGATTTTGTTACGTGCCAGAAAAATTTAGATAAACTTTATATTGCGAAATTCTTAACTTTGAAGTCCATAAGAAACATTTGATTCGTATGAAAATAGATCAGCACTATTACATTTGTTATTAAAAGTCCGTTCCCTTCCATCTAGGTGACCAACTAGCAGATAAGAAAAATTTTGATTGTGGCGGCCGTTAACCGATCGTGAAATGAGATCGAGCGAGGGATCTGATCGCGCGTGAGGAAGCATCACACGAGTAATCGCGAAGTGACAGGTGGCGAGGTGATAATTATACCGATGGGTTCCTTGCCAAATCTTCACGAGCTGTCCAAGGACAAGCTGGGGAGCCCGGTGTACAAACCGGCGCCGATCGGCGGTCTTGGTCCGGCACGATTGCCGCCGCAGCCACCGCCGTTGGCGCATACACATAAACGTGCAAGAAGTAGCGGGCATCATCATTCTACTCTGTGCGACAATGATACCATGTTGGAGGTACCAACACATTATCGATTGTTAACGTGAAAAGATCTTGCTAGTCGATCTAGCTTAAGTCGATCATATCTCAAAGATCGGAGTACAGACTTTTGCATAACGCATAAAGTATTAAGAAAATCAACCAATCAGAGTATCTCATATATTTCATGAAAAGGAAGTAAATGAAGGACTTTAATTCATTTTTTATTCATTATGCATTATTATATTTTATGCAAAACTCTGTGCTTCCGTCCTAATCTTTATAAATATTCTGATAATGTCTGTTGAATTGATTTAAGATTCATAATGCGAGAAGAACAGTTTTGCTGTGAAGAAAGAATCTTTAGCTGGATATAAATCTGAAAATAATTCTGTTGAAAACTGTTAAATAATGTAGGACGCTCAAGCGGAGTTTTTTTTAAGTAAAGTCTGATAGTTTTTAAATAAGTTTTTAAATATTTTAACAAGCCATACATTTTTTACGTACAAATGCATGGTTTAGAAGCCGGATTTAGAACTTGGATTTTAATTTAAAGTCAAACTGATCTAACGTTGCTTACTGAGGTCCTAGATTTACAGCTAGATCTAAATTTAAATCCAGAGAAAAAGAAATTACATTCGGAGAAATACGTCGAGGTCTAAAAAAAAGTTGCGGTCGCGCATATTGAGTGTACCGAGATTATTGTTTTTCTAATTTTCGGATGATTAATTATAGCGCTTCCATTGGCCGAGTTTACAGATTCGCCGATTGCGTATTAAATTATATACGCACGGGGGGGGGGGAAATTCCTCTTTTTTACTTTTGCAGCACATGGCGGCATACTCGCCGATCTCCTGCCGATCGACGCGCACCTCGGCGCTATCGTGGCGACGTCGAGACTCCATGAACTCATCGGCAGGTGCATCGTCCGTGCGCCGGCTGATCGCAGCGGTCCGTGCGGCCCCATCCGGGCCCAGACCACCACGTAGAGTCGTGTTGCGCCACATCGCGGCCCTTCTGCTTGGCCACGCGAGTTGTTCGGCCGCCACGCTGCCCATCTTCCCGCTTCAGGCAGGTTTGGGCGCGTTCGAACCCCGTCTAGGTCCGGTGCTTCTCGCCTATCTCTACATGATGGCAGCCGCCACCAGCTGTTTCGCACCCATCGTCGTGCAACGGCTCGGCACGAATCTCGCCATCACCGCGAGTCATGTGGTCACTGCTATCTTCGTTGGCGTGCATCTGTATCCCAAATGGTACGGTAATTAAATACCATATCGTATTTCGCGAATATTGAATTTTCAATTTATGGACAATATCATATTCGTTGCGTTAAGTCATCAGTTTGATGTCGTTTTGATTCTGAGAATTTTAAATTTTTTATGTTTCGGCTTTAGCCGTTCCAAGTATTAGCTCGAGACATTTATACGAAACGAATATAAATGTTGCGAATTGTAAATGTTGAATCTCTGTGCTTTAGCAGTACAAAAAAATTAAATCGAGGAACGATTTGATAAAAGAATTTAACCGGATAAAAATGGAATATCTTAAACATTAATTCGTATGTACACACGGCATTCTATTCCGCATCGCCAGGTACATACTCGCGCCCAGTTACGTGATGCTAGGCTGCTGCGCCAGCTCGAGTTTCCTAGCGAGGACATCGCACATCAACGTTTCCGCGACCAGCCTGGCGCTGGTCTGCGTCGATCCCGAGGATCCCGCGGATGAAACACGCCGCGAATGCCTGCTGAGAAGACTCAACCGAGGAATCAAGTTGGCTGAAGATATCGGCCTCGCAATCGGTATTTTCGCAACTATTATTTCTTTTGACCTTATTTGACATCGTATCATAATCTTTGGAAAAATTCTAAGTTAACTCAGAAATGATTTTTTTAATTTCTAATTTTTTAATTTCTATTTCAATCATATCTCTATTTGATTAGTTTTTTTCTATTGTAATTCGATACGTACCTACATATTTTATTCTTAGTTGTTTTTATATTTATATAAATAATTGTAATAATTGATGTACATATCAATACTAATTATATTATTTTTTCATAGCTCTTATTTTTAACATATACCTTAGATATCTTAGATTCAACTAATCTATTTGTAATATATTATTCTATGATCCCAGGTTGCCTCATCGCTGCGATTCTCGTCAGGCTAACGGATCTGATACCATCTAGCATAATGAACACCGACGTTTGCGGGGCTGAGTACTGTTCAGAAGAGATGTACTTTTACAACGAATCGCTTTATATGCCGACGATCACGTCTGGCACTTCGAGGATCCTCGTCAGCATCTGGCTAGGCTTGGCGGTGCTCGGTCTAGGCATATCTTGCGCGTTTCTCGATTCTAGGCTGCAGGAACCTCAGACGAACCACGATCGTGCCAGCGTCAAAGACATCTTCAAATCCGTTAAATGCGCGTTTCAGGACCCGAAGCTTCAGCTCGCAGCGCCGCTCACGCTCTTCATCGGGCTGGAACAGGGTTTCATTTACGCCGATTTTATGGAGGTAAGTGATTTAAAAATCCGCTTTTTTAAAATGATATTTAAAATAAATATCACAATCACTTGATATTTACAATTTCGATATATATTTGTTCTAATTCAGTGAATTTCTCTTCCAAGAAGTGAAGAAAATATTTCAAAATAGCTATCGATTAATTGAGTATTTTATATACAGAGGTCAAAAATACTTTATTATTTTCTCTCTCTGAGATATTAACAAAATCTTGAATTATTCATCTTCCGTGATAAATCGGTATATCGATTGAAATATTTCGCAAACGCAACACGAGTGACTCCAAATTTTCTTAAATCGACTATAAACTGGCATATATTTTAAAAAGTGACTCTAATTAAAGAGCATATTGTGTTTTGTTCAGGCATACGTGGTATGCGCTTTAGGTGGCGCCGGTACGGTGACCTTAAGCTTCTTGAGCTTGGCTTTATTACAAGCTCTGGCCGCTGCAACGCTTTCGATGTTGCTGAGGCACATTAAAAGGTACTTTGTCGTAGGTAAGTGATTTCTAAAATATCAAATTCAATGACAAGCACACAGTCGGACCAGCCAAATAAACGTCTAATAATAGATATGCAAAATAAAGTGATTGGCATTTTAAGGCCAAAGACAAATCAAGAGATAAGTTTAATAAAAAAAAAAAAAGTAAAAAAATTATTTAAAATTAATTGTAAAGATACACAGAAAGATGATTCTAGTTCGATCATGTTAATTCGAATGACTTAATCGCGAATCAGAGACAGAACAGATTATTTTCTCTGTTCTAGTCGTGGGTTTCGCTTTTCATGCCTGCCTTCTACTTGTTCTGGTAACCTGGAGACCGACAGGAGATGACCCGGCTCTCTTCCACGTTATATCAGCTGCCTGGGGAGTTTGTAATTCCATTTGGGAAACTCTGATATATAGTAAGTATCTTGTTAGACCTCGACAACGCGCGGACAAAGGCGGTAAAGCGATTTTGAATGAAAACAGCTTGCAAGATAGTTCGCAGAAATTGTGAATTCGACCGTTGCGATTAAGCCAAACTAAAGTTTCGAAAGCGATTTCGGGGCTCCGCTGTGTTGACACGCATCTGCATCTCATCAGAATGCGACACTTTTGCCAATTCTATACAGCGGGATCACGCATGCTTATCGAACAAATAAAACGGGACAAAAGAGGCGAGACATCGTCTCTTTGTATCCGTGAGAAGAAAAAGCATGAAGAGAATACTATTGAACTTGAAAATAGCATATCTTAATTTATACTTCTCTTAAAAATTATTTATTTTTGTGAAAACGTAATAAGTCAATAGAGACTTCGAAGAAATAAGACTTTCTAACGTAAAAACGGCAATTTTATCAAGACAGAGTGAAGCAAAAGAAAAGGGGAGAAGGAACCAAAGAAAAGATTTCACAATCTTTGATTTTTTCAGCGTTGGTGATGGGTCTGTATCCGAACGCGTGGCAAGGACCGCTGTCCACATCGCTCTTCTGGCGTTGGCTCGGCTTGACTCTCGCGCTCAGTTTGCACGGCGCGGTGTGCACCCGTTATCGCGTGCTAGGCCTTGCCGTGACCCTGGTGCTGGCAGTGGTGCCGTACTTATGGTTGGAAAGCCGTCTCGCCCGCCGCGGGAAAACGCTGGCGCCCTTATGACCAGGCGACTCGACCGCGAGCGAACGCGGGTCCACCAGTGTTGAGACGGCGACGACGACCGAAATTAGACACCGGGGTGACTGAGAACGAGCCGTTCCATCCAGCACCGCGGCCCGAGTAGTGAGATCGTGGACCGGGATACCGAGACGCGGTAGTCGCAGGAGTAGTGGCCTGACGACGCAGGAACCGCAGCAGCAGCAGCAGCAGCAGCATCAGCAACAGCCGCAGTCGCAGCCACAGCAGCAGCAGCAACAGCATCATCAGACGCAGTCTAGCAGCGCGACATTAAAGGTCAAGACGCGACGTAGGGCGAACAGCGTCGCGTTCGCCTGCCGCACCGATTACGGCCTGCCCGATGATAGCGATGATAATAATAGTCCTCCGAAGAACCCGGTGTTGCTGATCGCGGAACCAGAACGTCGCAGGAGCGCCATTGAAACTGCGGAAGGATCAAAGGAGCGCTCTTCGATCTTCACGCTCTCGTGAGGAAGGCATCCTCTCGCGAACGCGCTGCTTCCCAAGCGTCATCGTGCCATTCCGCGTGTATGGTAGCTGCGAGTGCGATTATGTTCCAATACAATACGTACGCTTTGGATAACGCGAGAGAGAGAGAGAGAGAGAGAGAGAGAGAGAGAGAGAGAGAGACTCTCTTCTTTCGAGCTTGCTCTTGCAACTGAAGATTCAAAGTAGTCGCAGAGAGCGTGTAATCCAGTATAATTGCACTGATAGCGTGCAGCCTCGACGTGATATCTCGTATAAGCGCAGAGCATTGCGAGCTATTGCAGTGTCCTATTTAGCACTCGACTCTCGGGAGAGAGTTCTGTCTTTCCGTCTCTCTCGCTCTCTCGCGAATTCGGAGCGAGGACAGCAACGATCGATGGTCGCTTTAAAGCTCTCTCCAGGCGCGTTCGAGCCGCGATTAATGAGGATCGCTCTTTCGAAGTTGGATGGAACGGCTATGTATACAGACTATATATGCATACACATGTACGTACTTAAACATATACATTTATGTATACACATACATATACATTTATGTATACGCTTTTCCGCTACGGTGCAATCGATGCACACGACTGAAGAGCGGGAAAACGGCACGCGAATATACGTACATACACACGTACGTAAATCTACGTATATCGTATTCTAATATCGAGCGTACCGTTTTGTATCACTCGAACGAATCACCGTTTGACGTAACGAAACGTCGAGATGTACCTGATGTCTTTCAAACCAAGCTGCACAAGGTATAGTCGCCCCGCGTGAGAGACTCCCAATATATATATATACATATATATATATATATATATGTATACATACACATATGTATATACATATACGTACCCAGCATACACACACCTCCCTATCTATCGTAGATGCTCTTGCGGGTGTATCAATTTTTTGAGTGAAAAACAATTCCTGTCCTTTTATATACCGATCATATTTGAAATGACGAACGCGATCGCCAAAGTGATTCGCGATTGGTGTCAAAATCGACGCCTAAAAGCGAGTCTATAAACGCCTTTAACGATTTAAATATCATGATAATTTGGGTAAAATTTTTTATGATTGTAATTCGTTGAGATGAGAGTCGCGTGTGACGATAAAAAGATCTTCCTTCGATTAGACTTACATAGGAAACCTCTATTAATTTTCCATAGATAAAAAATGACGAGGGTGCGGCCATTCATGAGGCGAATCGCGAAAATACGATCGCCAAAATAGTTAAGACATTAGGGATTTAGGACATCTTCCTTGATTGTATTAGACGCAATCGTGATCATCTCCCGGTTCGCAGACCGTCAGTTGACATTTTTGTTACGAATCTTAGAAACTAAGCAAACTGCGAAACTGTAAATCGCGTAAAGTTTAAGGGAAATTAATAAGTGTTATCTCGTTTAATGTTACCAGTGTAGGCGAGTCGAATGTTAAATTAGAATGATATTACGATGGGGATAACATATCACTGACATACATCATCCGGCGGAAATGGAGCCTGGTTTTCATTTTCTTTCCACCGACGTAACATTTTGTTTATAAAAGAACTGAAAAAAAAAAACTGAAAAATAGCTATTAAATAATTTTAATCTAATATTAGATTAATATAAATAAAAATTTTATTTTTCTAGATATTTAGTATTAATAGATGTTACGTTTGGTAATCTGTAACTTAAATTAAATATCTAAAAAAATAAAATTACTTTTTATTAT